ATGTTGTCTCTTTTTTGTACACATTCATCATAGAACATAAAAATGCTTAGAAATATAAGTAGAAAAATAGGGATAACAAAACAACAAGTACCCATTGTCAAACTAATATTCATATAAGCATCAATGATTAGACATTGCTTGTAGAAACATACCCTGAAAAAATATCACAACTTTGTACTACGATCACGAACAGCGCTTGCAATGAATGAACCTTGCAAGCGGAGGACTACAGCTCATCCTGGGAAGGATGTGAGGATTTCTTCCCTGAGATGACGCGGTCGGGATGGAGGATTTGGTTCATTTTCGTCGGCAGAGAAGCGTGGAAATCCCGCACCTGAGAGAAGGAAATATCAAAATCGGGAACTTTAATGTTCATTAATGGATTTTTGGTCAGATTGTCAATGATGAAGTTTATTCATGCATATAAATCTGCCTATCTTATGCACTAGGATTTCAAATCTCAACATTAATATATATTCAAGTTGATGATATTTACCAACTAAACTCCTAATGGATTGGTTACAGTATTTGTAACGTTACATAGATAATGGATAAATAAGCAGATAGATAACAGCGCATGTATACGAGGTCACTCACCTCCTGTCGCTGGTCAGCCTCCATGGCGGGCGAGGGCGTGAGGGCGAGGTAGCGGAGGTCGTCCTCGGTCGCCGCCTCCCACTTGAAGCCCAGGGCGTCGTCGGGGGTCGGGTTGCTGGGGGGAGGGGGGGATTGGTGCTTGGGTTATGTAATTATATTCATGTTTATGTAAACGTATGGAACCTTGAGAGTAAAAACAGTTTTGTACTAGATGTTTTTACTAAGACTGTACACATATGCAATGGCAAACTTTGTAGACGAAATACAACCTCATAATAGATACAAATTCAGAACACTAAACCTTCATGTATATTTTGTCGATTGAAAATACATTGATTGTGATATAGAACCCGGGGGATAAAGGGGTTAATCCCTAGATGGGAAGAATTAAAAACAATAGGAAGTATCAGCAGCTGGTGATATTTTCCAATACAACACACACACGCATACGCAATAGTTACCCCGTAGCAGCGAAGTTGGTCCACAGGGTCGTGATGATGTCCCTGAGGCGCAGGTCGTCTTGGCGCCGCAGGTCCGAGGGGCGGCCGGCCAGGTGGTCGGGGGCGAGAAGCGGCCCGCCGGCGAACAGGTAGAACAGGTCGTCAGCGTGAGGAATCCCTGGAGAAAGAGAAAAAAGCAAGCTATTTTAATACTGTCCTCCTTCATTAAGTGTGTTATATTAAGCAAGCATACCATTGGAAATTGAAGTCATCGTATTCTAGGAGTTCAATAGAAAAATCAAAATGCTCGTTTCAGAACTTTTGTCTTCATTCCACCAAAAAGAAAATCACAAGGGCACTAAAGCACATATCTTTAATTACCTCGCTATTTACAAAACAAAGCATGTCTGAAGAACCAGTTTCCAAACAACTCACAGTGTCTCCCTTTGTCTGTCTCGCAGAAATCTCCGAAGGACAACTCGGCTCGGTGCTTGAGCTCGTAGCGGTAGGTGGCGACTCCGGGAACCCGAGCGTGGGAGAGGGTCGTCAGGTCGTGTGGAATCCCGAAAGTGTAGTCCGTATATAACTAGAGATTGGAGCCTTGGTTATACAATGGACAAAGCTTAGTGTTGTGACCTCATGGAAACATCTATAGATATTGTTCACATTGGATCCGTTTGCAGTGTTATTTCATTTGAGAGTTGGAAGCATCAGGGGCGCAGTTATGCATGGTCACAAAAAACAAGACGTCATGATAAAATAAAGTTTTGTTTACGTCATAGTATACAAAACCAAAGCAATCTGAGATGGAAGTATCATTGGTAAGGAAATCAGAATACAAAGCGAAGGAGAATGAAATAGAAACATAAGTAATACTTATCAAAGGTGAAGCAAAGTTGAATGGAGGGAGATGAGAAGCTAGTATGGAGTGAATCAGGAGAAATATCTGCTAACCACAACAATAATCAATTTACAAGCAAAGTTCATGAGCAGAAAACGTTATTATTATTATTATTATTACCCGTGTGAGATCTTCCATGCGGTCAAGATCGAAAGTCAAGTCGCCAAGATAGTGCTGGTAAATCCTGGTGCAAAACTCAATGGGATCTGGCACCATCGGCTCCATCATACTGATGGGGCCGACGACGGAGAAGTTCTCTCGCAAGACATCTAGCTGGTCTTCGCGGAGTATCAAGGCTGTAATAAAGGAGAAAATACCAGACTCTCAGCTTCCAAGAATAATGATTCTGTGAAATCTTTCAACTGAATTTGTCATCATTTTCAATCGGATTTACCCCTTGAAATCCTTACTTGCGAATCCTGATATGCCCAAAATAAGAGAAGGAAAACTAACGTTGTGTTACGATGGCTCCGTCGTCCCGTGTGATTCCAGCCATGAGATTCACGCGATGGACCTCCCCGTCACGCATCAGACGCGCGGGATCGTCAGGCAGGAAATCGCCGTCAACGCGAGGTGCAGTGACCAAAGGCAAGATGAACCATTTCTGAGGAAAAACATCATAAACTAGTTGTGTTGCATGTTAGAGGCAGTGAGTAAAAAAGGAATGCCATAAGGAATTATTTATAATGATTCATTCCGGAGTATCTTTGGCTTACCAAAAAATCCTGGAAGCTGGCGGCCAACTTGCGACCATCCTTCTGCTGGAGACAAGCAAGGATCCCCTGGCTGCCGAGGCCTTCTCCGCACCCGACAGATCGGCTCACTTCCTCCGCCACGGATCTGAACTCTTCTCGGTGAGCCCACGGCGCTAGTGCTGACCCTGACTGCATGATAACGCCAGAAAAGAGGCCTAATGTCATGCAAAAAGAAAATAGGAGAATGCATTATGTGTGCGAAAGGTACTATAACCTAACTGTGGTTATCAGCTGCTCATAATAATACATTTTTTCACTGACAGCCATCGATTTTCTACAAGCTTAATGTCAAGACTGGTCAAAGGTTCGTAAACTCTGGAAAGAAAATTTGCAATGCAGAATTTTATTGTGTATTGGAATTGTTCAGTATTCTTGCAGAATGTTTGACTACTAACTACTACTAAGTGGCATAGCTCCTAGTTTTATAAAATATGCTCTTTCTGCTATTCATTTTGTACACGGATATTTGGATTGATCAAGAAAGTAGAATATGTAGACGATGGTATTCTTTCTCTTCCTTTTTCTCTCAGCGTACCATATTATTTAGTATTGCTTTTCTACTTCATCTCATCTATGATTGCCAGGTACACAGGTGCAAAATTTGTGCTGTTCTTTTTTATTTCATTTTATCTTTAACGTTGATTCCAGGAACAAACCGTCAACAAACTAGTTTTGCAAACACAGCAAAAATATAACCCATTTCCTCGTTGCCCGTTGTATCCCATCAAAGCCTAAAGAAGCAATCTGTTCTTGACAGTGCTATGGCGTCCTGTGAAAGACTAGGCAAATGAACTGTACTGATTTGCTTTTCCTGCTAAAATTACTATTTCTCTTGCTGGTCATTCTTGCTATTAGGATTATTCACAATACTATTATTTTCATTTGGATGATGATAAGATTTTGCAAGACCTAGACCTCACCTTTGGACATGGGCGACAGCATGTGCAGGTGGACGGAGGCGCCGCCCGCGCTCTCCCCGAAGATGGTGACCCTGTCGGCGTCGCCCCCGAAGCTGTGGATGTTCTCCTGCACCCAGCGGAGGGCCATGACCTGGTCCTTCATGCCGAAGTTGCCGGGCATCACCTCGTCCTCCGTGGACAAGAATCCTGCAGAGAAAATGAACAGTTAAATAGGAAGATGAAAATCAGAAATATAGACTCAGGAAGGTGACATATTTTATTTAGCATTATATATGGTACTCTGAAGTAGAATGGCAGTCTGATTGCCCTTTCACCACTCACCCAGGATGCCGAGTCTGTACTGCACAACTACCAGCACAATGTCGTGGTTCATGAGGACGTGAGGCAGGTACTCGTGGGCGCCGCCAGCGAAGAATCCTCCCCCGTGGATCCAAACCATTACGGGAAGTCTCTCGGCGGGCTCGTCTCTCTTTAGGAATCACCAAGAAAACAGAAAGCATAATGACGAATTAAACAAAACGAGAAAAATGTAGGTCAAGAAACAGATCCGTTTTAGTACATCTCTCCCTCCACCTCCTTCTCCTCCACGACACGGCTGAGACTACCTTTGGCATGAAGACGTTCAGGTAGAGACAGTCCTCATCGCCATGCAGCTCCTCCGGGGTCAGAGTGATGCCCATGACGGTGGCGCCGAAGGGCACGAGGAGGCAGGGGGAGGGCTTCTTGGACCCGTCTCGCACGCCCTCCCAGCTCTCTGCCGTCACCGGGTCCTGAGGGCAAGGCTGGTTTAATCTCCTTTCTATATCAATGTGTCCGTATGTGTGAGCCGCTCTCACATACTGTCTAACTGTTATGATCTTCGTAAAAGTTTATGCATGTATGCATATCCATGTACACAAACACACACATACATTTCCATCCTCCGTGTCTAAACACCTCTGTCTCCTTCCCTCTTTACCAACCTTGAGCCTGAGCTCCCCCAGGGGCGGCCTGGCGAAGGGGACGCCGTAGTAGGCGTGGAATTCCCTGCCCTTCGTGGAGGTCTCCGTCGCGCCCGCCACCCGCCCGCCCGCCACCGCCACACGGCGCGGCGTCGCCACCCGCCACGCCCGCCGGCGCCAGAACCGCCATCGCTACGAGCACAGGCAACATGAGGACGCTGGAAGGAATATAGAAAAATCAGTTTTTCTACTTTCGGTACTCTTAGGAACAGTACTCTCAGTATTGCTACTAGAAGCAGTAGTATCATTTTATCGTCCAAGTGATTCATGAAGGGAAGACCAAGAAGCGAGATTATGATTGGTTGTTTTCTGAATTACATGTTTATCGAAATGTACGTCAGCGCGACTACAAGAGCTGTCTGACGCTTTGGTAGCAATTCTGACATCGCGATGAGGGCTGCCAATCAGAGGACAACGATGGTCTTTACGTAAATGCTTTGCTCTCTCCAAGATGACCCTTAAAGCTTCAGGCCCTTAATCTTCTTGTCAGCCCACAACCTCATTATTCCAAACACGTTACTTAGAGAACGGACAAAATATCTAACACGGTGAGTCACATCGAATATTTTGTTAATTTTTTTTTCCCTTCTTTTCTTTCTTTATCTTTCTCTGTTTTACACACTTTTATTTTCCTTATCCCCTTTCTATGTTTATTTTATCGTCTTTTTTCATTAGAAAATTGTAATGTCTTTACGCTCTCATTACAAGTAAACATCCACATGCAAAACACATAAACATACATAAACAAACAAACACACACATACACACATGCACGCACAGACGTTCATCATAAGCGCTCACAAATGCATGTTTACAAGCACACACAGACGTAAATGTACATTCATTTTTCTTTCTTTCTTTCTCTGTGGTCAAGGATGAAGAAATATGAAATTCTTAGTTGTCAGAGGCCGAATTATTGAATAATAATAACTGTTCATAAGGAAGTAATATTCTGGACGGCCAAATGTCTGTCAGCTGATAACAGAGATAATTACCCCAGGATATCCTTAGAACGGCTTGGTGTTCGATGATGTCTACATATAAAACCGAGTAGAAAACAGAATAGTCAAGGGGGAATAAACTCACATATATCAAAGTGCCCAATCTTGCGAAGGCGAATGTTCAAGGACGAAGCGAGGTGAGCATAATGCAACACTGGGAATGACATGCAACATCACTCTCCCTTGCAATGTTTATCTTCGTCGGCCTGTCTCCCTGGCTTCTATCCCCCTGCTTCCCTGCTTCTCTTCCCATCCACCCTCTCCCATGCTCGCACTTTCACCCCCTACCCCTCTCCCCTGCTTTTGCTTCTACTTGCCCCCGCTCCCCTGCTTTTACCCCTCCCCCTCCACAGCCTCTACTCTCCCCCCCCCTTCTCCCGCTTCTACCCCCACTCTCTTCCTTCATTTGATTGTACTGTCTACCCCCATCTCCACTTTATGCGATCCCCACCACTCATCCTTTGTTTCTATTTCCACTCCCTCTCTGTTGCCTTTACCCCCCCCTCCCCTCCATTTTCCTTCTGCTGCCTTTATTTCCCCCTCTCCCTCTCAGGCTTCTGCCCCCCCCTCTCTTTCCCTGCTTGTATTACCACCCCCCTCTCATGCTTCTACACTCCCCTCTCCCTCCTCCCCCCGCACCCTCCCCCTTTATCCAATCTACTCTTATTTTTGTTATCTTTGCTTTCTTTCTTATAACTTACTTCCTTCCCGCCATCGTTACCGACTTTGGGTTAGAGGTTCATTGTCACTGTTGCCCTTCTTTGCTATTCTGTTATTAGAATTATGGTATTTAATAGTTTTAATATGATTGCCGTTCTAACTGCATGTGTAACTCAATAGCATTATGAATTTGCCAGTAATTACAGGACCAATTATCTAGTTTATGATTGCTGTGAAATCATTAATTATCAACATTATCATCATCATCCTTATTAACATTGTTATCACTGTAGCACCTCTTTTATTATTGCTATTTTTATTCCCATTCTTGCGACTATCAGCATCATCATAAGCAATTTATGACTTCTGTTATTGATTATCACCATTCATTATCATTATCATCACTAGCAGGGACTATAGCAGTAAGCTATATGGTAATAACTAGTAACACTAGGAATAGTAGTAGCAGAAATAATCACAATAGTAGTAATAGCAGTAATAATATTATTTGTAATAATAGCGATGATATTAGTTGTAAAAGTAGTAATAATATTCTAAGCATTAGCAGCGATGGCATAAGTATTGCTATTGGTAATATTAGCAGTAATAGTAGCTATGATAATAGTAATAACTGTAGTAACAGTAGTGATGACATTTGTAGTAATGATAGTACTAGCAATTACGGCATTAATAATAGTAGCAACTAGTAATGATAATGTTATAGGCATCTATCGCTGATGGAAATATTCGCGATGAGAATACACAGTGTACGCCTTTGGTGCGCCAATTGCTGATTGTGAATGAGGCGTCTGTGATTTATTCCCATTACATAGTGACACTGAAAAAAAAGGATTTGTAAGCAGTGTTTTTGTGTGTTTTTCCTCTATTATCATTTGTGTTATGATTATTTTCTGCTATATTTACCATCATCATCATTATCATTACTACTATTATCATTGTTATTACTATCATTGCTATCATTATCATCATTATCATTGTAATAATAATTATTATCATTAGTAATATTACTACTTAATCATTATCATTATCACCATTATTACTACTTTATCATTATCATTATTATCATTGTTAGTATTATCAAAATTCCCTCTGCCCTCCTGCAAAAAATATTCTATCGATTTATCAGGGTATGAAGGAAATAGCATTGACAAAGAAAAAGGTCAGGGAAGTTATACACATCGAGGTAAGCCCTATATATCCAAAG